TTTAACATATAATTAGAAAATATAAATTTGAATTTTGAAATGAGTTGCCTAATATATCTACATGACACATAGCATAATATTAATAAGGAGTTATATTAGAGTGACACTTGGCAAAAGAATATTAAAACTATTTATTTATTAGAATAGATTGATGATTTTTTTTACACATTTAATTTAACCCAAAATAAGGAAGTTCATTATCCTCTAACATAAATTACATAATTGACAAGGATTTTATAAATAAAGTTTCATATTTGTATTTTACAGTAAAGGCAAGCCAAAAAGTGTGATATGGGGCTTTTTTTAAACAATAATCTAAAACTTATTTCAAGTAACTTATGAAAAGGAGCTGTCGAAGTATTTTATCCATCCACATAAAAATTAGGTGTATTGACAATAATGCTCTTCATTTTAATTTAGAGAGAAAAAAAAATCCTTTGGATTTGTTTCCAAAAGATACACGACACTCCTTCCTTCCTTATTCCTTCTTCCTTCTTCACTTCACGTGTGATTACCCTCAAAATGGAAAAACGCAATTATCTCAAAATCGATTTCTAACTATGGATGCACCCAATTGTTTATACCCCCATCTGCATTCAATCCATTAAACTAGGCTTAAATCGATTAATTTGCATCAAAGGTGTGAAAGCAAGTCTATATTAATCAAAGTTCAAATCAACTCTAAGATTATTTTTTTGTGGTGTGTGATTTCTTCTTTTGTTTTTTCTAGTTTTGTGATTCCAGTTTGTTTTAATGGGTATGCGATTTCTTCATGTTTTTTTTTTCATAATTCTTAAATGAGCTTGCAGTGCTTTTCGTTTTGGTATTCTAATCATCATTTCCGAGGCAAGCATCATTAGATGAAAATGGAAAGATTATGAAATCTGAAAGTCAAAACCAAAAAGTCAAAGTCGGTGAAGTGATCACGAGTCAAAATTGATCTTGTTTTAGATAGGGGTGGCAATTGATGACATGACACGACAAAAATACACGACACGAAACAAAATTGAGACGAAACTGAAAATCGAGTTCGTGTTCGTGTAAACTATAAAAAACACGATGTCGTGTCGTCTTCGTGTTCAAAATTCAACACGAAATTGATACGATTTAGCATTTGTCTGTCGTGTTTTTCGTGTTATATAATATGATTAAGTATTAATTAAATAAAGTAAGTGTTATTTTATGTTATCTTTGTCGTGTCGTGTTTGTCGTTTTTTAATCGATTCGTTTTCGTATTAGTTAAAAAAACACGACATCGTGTCGTGTCGTGTTTGTGTTACATAAAACATTGTTGTGTCGTGTCAGACAGAAACACGATGGTCCGATTTGCCACCCCTAATTTTAGATGCTAAAACTAAGGATGAAGTAAAATGTATGGTTTTATATATGTTAAAAGGAATGATGACACAAAGTAATGAAAAGTCAAAATCGTTTTTGTAGATGGAAAAATACAGTGAAGAATTGAAAAGGCTAAACACATAGCTGTGGTTTGGTTTGGTTTTGCCGATGAAATTGTGTAGACTACATCTGCGGACATGTCAACTCAAAATGAATATCCATTACTTCAAATAATTACTTTACTCTGGAGAGATTTTTTTTTCATTGGTTTCGCTTATTAGGATTCCAACCCACAATTAAGACAAGTTTTCTATGTTCGTAAAGACTTAAAATGCTCTTCAATGAAGACAAACAACAAAAATAATGGGTGCTGCAAATTTTATGTCTCTTACCTCTTCTTCTGATAACCAAGTGGAGAAAATAGAAAAAAAAAAAGATAAAAACTAAAAAGCAACATTTCTATTCCCATTCATCATCAGCTTATCACCTTTGACACTACTCCTGCACCCACAGTTCGTCCTCCTTCCCTCAATGCAAATCTTTGCCCTGTAATGTAAAACCATAGATAGACATTAATTACAATACAAATTTACCCATTTCCTAATTTGCCCTCCTCAATTAACTCTATAGTATTAGTATACATACCTGGTTCAAGAACAACTGGTGTAATAAGTTCAAAAGCAGCAGTGACGTTATCTCCAGGCATAACCATCTTTACGCTTTCAGGCAATTCCACTTTCCCAGTCACATCTGCTGTCCTCAAATAAAACTGAGGCCTGTAATTTGAAAAGAAGGCTGTATGGCGTCCACCTTCATCCTTTGTTAGCACGTATATTTCAGCCTCAAATTTTGTGTAGGTTTTTACACTGCCAGGCTTTGCAATCACCTGTTTTGTTCACAAAACAAAAACCTCATTGTTAATCAAATCTTTAAGACAAGACTTTGCATTAATAACTTGGAAAACACAATTTGAATTACCTGTCCTCTCTGGATATCAGTCCTGCTTATACCACGTAAAAGAAGTCCCACGTTATCACCAGCCTACCACCAAAAAAAAAGATATATTATACATGATGATTATTTATGGGATGAAATTGCCACTTGTTTTGTATGTATAAGAGAACAATAACTTACTTCCCCATGATCTAAACTCTTCTTGAACATCTCAACACCAGTAACAGTTGTTTTTTTTGAACCCTACAAATAAAAAACATAAATATTAAGCAGTCACTGATTATTCAGACAAATAGATCCAAGGAAAACCACAACTCACCTGCATCAACCCCATGATTTCAACTTCCTCTCCAACTTTAATTGTCCCTTGTTCAACACGACCAGTGGCAACAGTCCCACGTCCCTTCAAGTTCAAACAAAAAATAATAATTATAATTAAAAAATAAGGCTACCATAGAAAACTACCAGTTTAAAAACATAGAAATTTTGAGATCATTGTGATTGAATACCGCAATTGAGAAAACATCTTCTATAGGCATTAAGAAGGCCTTCTCCTTTTGCCTTTCAGGGGTAGGGATGTAATTATCTACAGCTTCCATCAGTTTCAAAATGGCATTCTTTCCAATTTCATCGTTGTTGCCTTGTAAAGCCGCCAAGGCTGAACCTCGTACAATGGGAATTTCATCCCCTGGAAACTTGTAGAAGCTAAGAAGCTCTGCCACAATCACAAACTTATTTCAAATACATCACAAACATCATAAAGTAAGACCTAAATGCAAGAAATAGCAACATACTTTCATTCATTTATGTATCATAATCTAACCCACTTATAGAAAGAAATAAGAGTAGGATGCTATAATAAACCAATCAAAGAAAGTACATCGCTATATCCTGCATTTAACCATATAAACAGTTTTTTTTTTTTTTAAAAACTCTAAATGTTAGCAGTACACAAGTGACAAAGATCCAGTTTTACCTCGAAGCTCTAGTTCCACAAGTTCTAGTAACTCAGGATCATCAACAGCATCAACCTTATTCAAAAAGCACACAAGTGAAGGAACACCAACCTGCAAATAGCAGAAACAATGAATGAGTCTAGTTTCATTGAAATGTATCAAGTTAATGGTTTGTCAGCAATGAACCTGTCGAGCAAGAAGGATGTGTTCCTTTGTTTGTGGCATAGGCCCATCAGGTGCAGAGACAACCAGAATCCCCCCATCCATTTGAGCAGCACCAGTGATCATGTTCTATAAATTAAATAAAAAATCTATAAAGAACTGCAACAAGTGTAGAAAGCCAGAGATGACAAAGTTTTCACATGATTAAACCAGTTCACATTGTGTAATAAATTACTTTTTCCCATTTAGCAACTTTTCAGTTCAGATAATATATGCTCCAAAATGTGCACACTTATACGAAGGAAGTAAAATTTTACTACAGTCTTATAACAGCCAGTTAACTGTATGATCTGATAAACCTTCCTCATTGCATGTCATAATGTAGAAAATCTCTAACCTATTACTTGATCAATGGAGCCATAAAATAGAAAAACATATCTTACCTTAACATAATCAGCATGTCCAGGACAATCTACATGAGCATAATGCCTTTTAGTGGTTTCATATTCCACATGAGCCTGCATAAACAAACCATAACCAAATATGGATTAAGATATTAAATATCTCATATGTCTAGGACTGCATCAAACAGAGAGAAAGAGGAATATATTAAACCGTGGCAATTGTGATTCCTCTCTTTTTCTCTTCAGGTGCCTTGTCAATTTCATCAAAGGCGATGGCCTTGGCCTTCCCTTCATCTGCCAGCACCTACAGAAAACACACAGCTTAGCCAACTAATAAGATATGATTTCTTTGAAAATAAGAAAAGTAACAGAGAGAACATGAACTAAGAGCCAGAATCAGGGAATCCAACCTTTGTGATTGCAGCAGTTAGTGTTGTCTTTCCATGGTCAACATGTCCAATTGTTCCAACATTTACATGAGGTTTTCTGAAAGAGATAAATCACACCATAAGAAATATGCACAAGACAATTTTATCAATTTACCACAACAAATTTGTTAAAAGGGGTTTCCAACCAATAGAACAACAGATAGCAAGAGCAGTAATAGATTTCTCAGGTGGTATCAGTTTCCAGTCCACACTGTTGTGAACAGACCATATTTTCAGGTTGACAGAAACACACACAAGCCTCATATGTAGGAAATACAATAATCTGGTTAACTTCAAAATGAATTCCATAAGGGAGGCATTTGTCAATTTGTATGAACTCTAAAGCTGAATAAGATCACCAACCTTAATCTCGAAGTTCAAAACTAATCGGTTTGACATAAAAAGTCAAATTAAAATCAACTGAGAAATGATTTACTATAAATAGCAAGGGAAAGAAATCTGTACAAATGATGCTAATATCAAATGATTAAATTTAGTTACATTATTTGGATAACTAAAGCACATGTAATTTAGATCAATGTGCAACCGCACTGACTTTCTTCATATAAAAATACATTATTTGGATAATTTAATAAATAAAACAATTCGAAAAGCTTACGTTCGGGTGAAAGTGGCCATGGATCTCCACCACGGATTAGAAGCAGTCGCGTTGTCATTTCCAGAAAGCGATTCAATGGCTGGGAAACCAGAAGCAGATACAACGGATCCTCGACAACCAGAACGTAATTGGGGAGATAGTTGAATCAAACGCCTAGAATTAGGGTTTCTGAAGGCCACGGACGCCATTGATGGACGTAGACGATTACGGAGACGGATAAATGAGTGTTGCAGAGGTGAAGAGGGGTTTTGGTGGGTTTTACGGATGGGATCGATCACTCAGAACTGTAGAAGCGTCAAGGGTTTTATTTCGGCGTCTGTAAACTCACTAAACTGTAATACAACTAAAATGGGCCGGGCTGTGTATTGGTTTTTGCAATAAGCCCGCAAGTAAATTTGAAGTTTTGAACTTCGGCCTCAAGTTTTAATTTTAAGTTTGTGTTAAGTGTATCTTTGGATAAATTAGATTATAGTTTATTAGCTTATTGCTTATTAGCTTATTTGCGGTGGGAATAAGCAATAAGGCCGGACGGAGTGGGAGCAAGGAACGGTCGCGGGGAGGTTCCCGCCCGGCGGAACACCGCACCGTCGGCGCGGGGAAGGGTGGTGCGGGAATGGGTGAGGGAAACCTCTCCCGCGTTCTCTCTCCTGCTGTGATTCGATGATATATATATATATATATTTTTTAAAATTCAACCGTTGAATAACGGTAAAAAAAAAAAAAATTTGGGCTGTAACGGCTAAATGGATTTAAATCCATTTTTTTGTTTTTTTTTTAACCTTTTTACACACCTATAAATACACAACTATTTACCATCAAACAAAATTCACACAAATCTTCTACTCTCTCCACTTTCTTCTAAAAAAAATGAATCCGGACAATCAAACCCCACCTTCCAATCGAAGGAAAAAAAAGTCATGGTTCGAGTATAAACATCCCTTCTCGAAACATTTTTGCTATCGATTCATCACCACAAGAAGTTTATCGCCACCAACTCGATGCTCCCATTCAATCCCCACTACAATTCCAATACCAAAATGTTGGACAATATTACCCGATGCAAGTTCTAAATGTTTCGCCGCAAATGTTTTCAAACTTTGTTGTGTTTCCGGATCAACAATCACCAAATCAACCTCAACCTCAAACTCAAACTCAAACTCAAACCCAAACCCACCAACAACGCCAACTTGTCGACGAGTTGGATGACTCGGAAGAAGAAGAGATGGTTCCTGAAACTCAACCCACACCACCCCCACAAAGACGTAAAGGAGAAAAACAAGCGCGCGAGGGTGTCGCACAACCGGGAAGACAAAAGCTGACTGCATGGCTTCCACACGAAGAGCTAGTTTTGGTCAAATCTTGGGCTGACATTTCTGAAGATCCGATTCAAGGAAACGCACAACCGGGAGACCATTTTTGGTTTCGCATTTTAGAACGGTTTCGAGAGGAGCTAGAAAAAGGTGACGACTACCGTACGAAACATCAACTGAATTCGAAGTTTCGAGAAATAGCAAAGGGGGTTTCAAAAATAAACGGGTTGTACAACAACCTAAAAACCCAACGGAAAAATGGCCAATGGGACGAACAAATACTTCAAGAAGCTTTGCAGTTTTACCTTGAAGAAGTCGGAAAATCATTCAAGTGGCACGATTGTTGGAAAATTTTGGTTCGATGTCCTAGGTGGAAAAAATACAAGCAATATTTTATTTTTGGAGTCCAACAATCAAAGCGAACGAAAACGGG